AAATTATAATGAAATACAAAATGAATTAAAACAAACATTAAATTGTATAGCAATAGCTGATGATATTGAAGTTTCTACACCTGAAATGAATATTTCTAATAGAATTGAAAGTGGAATTGAATTGGCATTTTCATTAGAAAAGAGTTTTAATATTTTACAACAAATTATTAATGAAATGAATCAAATTTTAAATGATACTTCAAATTTAAAATTACAATTTACAACTATGGATGATATTATACATCAATCTACATTTGAATTAAATAGATTATCAAATCAAAATATACCATATTTATCAAATATTGAATCAGAACATACTAGTTTATTATTTCAATCTAATCAACAACAACAACAATATAAATCAATTTCATCATCAACAACAACAATGGATCCATTTTCATTTAATTTATTAAGAGAATCTCTTGGACTGTAAAAATAAATTTGTTTCATGTTTCTAATTGTTAGCCTTTTTATTATGAAAATTAGCCTTTTGTTTATTTTAAAATAATATTTTATTCATAACAAACAATTAAAAATGTCAAATAATTCAAAACAATTGTATCATTTTGAAGGTGATGAAGAAATATTAAAGAAATTATTACAAACTGAACAATATTCAATTTCCGAAAGAACAGAATTGGAAAATGAATTTTATGACAAGGTTGAAAATAATTTATTTAATCTAGCAATATTATTAACCAAAGACATGACCATGCAAGAATTACTTCAATTATCTTCAAAAGATTTACGTCAATTAATTGAAAAGTATGCCAACAACAATAATAATAGCAAACAATGACCTCCCACTTTTGATGTTATTCTGATCATCACCCGAAGGCTGTTTGTCGACTTGAAAAAAAGGCTTTGTCATACAATAACAAGAATACTCATCATACAACACCCAGTCGATGAAATTTGATTAAAAATTAAAATTAAAAAAAATGCTCGCCACAAAGAAACAAGCTACAACAACAACAGAAGACAACACTTATCAAATTACGTGGGAGGATCAAAAGAAGATTAATAATTTTAGTAGAATTAATGTTCGTTTCAATGAATTGGAAAGAGAAATTACAGATTTGAAGGAAGAGTTGAATAAATTAAATGATGCCTCTGATGAAATTTTCATCTCGGATAATATTAGTTATGTTGTTGGTGAATTGTTTGTAGAAGTTAATGCTGATCAAGCAGAAAAACTTTTGGATGAAAGAAAGGAAAAAGTTAAAAAGGACTTGAAGGATAGACAAAAGGAATTTAAAGATATTGAAAATAAGATGAAGGAATTAAAGGCTAATCTTTATGCTAGATTTGGTTCACATATTAACTTGGAAGAATCTAAATAATTTATTATAAAAACAAATTTATTTATTTTATTATTTAATGTTTTTGATTTTAATAATTTTAATGAATTTCAGTCGTTTTGAAAAATGCTGAAAGTTATTATACAAGATAGAATACATTCTAAGTGACGTTGTCAAGATGACTCTCTCAAGGTCAAGCAGAGTTTAACTTATTAGAAATGCAATTCAGTCTGAGGTAAATTTGTTTATTAAATAAAACTAATCTTCTCTCTTCTTTCGTTTGCTTTATTAGATCTAATATGCCATTTAAATTAAAATTAAACAATTTTTTTCAATTCAATTAAAGTATGGGTAGATTCAACTCTAAATTCAAAATCTCCAAGTGAACCTGAAAAGTTAGATAAAACAACAGTTAAAGGAAATATTGAATGTGTAAAATCCTTTTGAAAATAAGTTAATTCTTGACTTGATAATTTACACATTGAAAAACATCTTCTATAATTACCAGTTGAAGTAATCATTAATTCTTTAGCAGGTAAATGGATTGGTTGACCTTGATTACAAAATACCATTATATTAATATCTAATGGTTGTAAACATGATAAACTAAATCTTAAATTAGTTTTATCAAATAATGTTGTATGTGGACTATTACTTCTATTATTACCATGAGAATGAGAATGATGATGATTAATATTATTAATATTATTAATATTATTAGTATTTGGTAATGAAATTAAATATTGTGGATTTAATCTAAAAGTATTAATTTGATTACAACTACCACCACATGTATTACTTGTCCATGAATCTCTAACATTTCTATAATATTTATATGTTTGTGGAATGGGTTCTAAACTACATGGTACACTTGAATAACAAAATAATGAATATCTAATACTTTGTATCATTCCATGTTGTGATAATACTATTCTAAATATAGATAATTGATCATTTGAATCATCATTTGAATTGTTTGATGAATTATTTGAATTATTTGATGATGTATTTGATGATGAATTATTTAAATTTGAATT